TGCCATCTTATCCCCTCACGGCTTTCTGACGCTTCCTCCAGGATTCGAACCCATGACGTCCTTGATATGTGAGACTTAAGTTGAATCCTGGTACCAATTGGGCACTTATCCTCTCACGACTTTCGACGCGTCCTCCAGGATTCGAACCCAAGACCTCTATCATATGGGAGACTTAAGTTGAATTCTGGTACCAATTGGGCAACTTGCCCAATTGGTACCAAGATTCAACTTAAGTCTCCAATATGATGGAGGTCTTGGGTTCGAATCTTGAGGGACGCGTCAAAAAGTCGTGAGGGGTAAGATGGGCCTAGATTCTCCCGAAGCGGACAGTACGTAAGATAACGACCCGACCTCTCACCGGAGCCGTTATGTTATGTACTGTCTGCTTCGGGAGAGCTTAGACCCATCTTACCCCTCAAGGCTTTCTGACGCATCCCCCAGAATTCGAACCTAAGACCTCCATTATATGTGAGATTTAAGTTGAATCCTGGTACCAAACTCAAGATCTCCATTATATGGGAGACTTAAATTGAATCCTGGTACCAATTGGGCAACTTGCCCAATTGGTACCAGAATTCAACTTAAATCTCCCATATGATGGAGGTCTTGGGTTCGAATCTTGGGGGATGCGTCGAAAGCCGTGAGGGGTAAGATGGACCTAGACTCTCCCGAAGCGGACAGTACGTAAGATAACGGCTTCGGTGAGAGGTCGGGTTGTTATAAAAAAATGCGCATTTTTTTGTAACGACCTAGGTCTCTATACCTAAGCCGTTATCATATCATACGTACTGTCCGCTTCGAGAGAGTTTAGGCCCATCTTACCCCTCACGGCTTTCTGACGCATCCCCCAAGATTCGAACCCAAGACCTCAATCATACGGGAGACTTATGTTGAATTTCGAATACTAGGGGACGCGTCGAAAGCCGTGAGGGGATAAGTGGGCAGAAGCCCACCCAAGAGCGGACAGTATTTAAGATAACGGCTCCGGTGAGAGGTCGGGTCGTTACACAATTTGAACAAAAATTCAAAAAATAATTTATTTAGATGTATTTACTAATCAAAGAGATTAACAATATCTCATAAACTTTAAATGCTCCAACTCAAATTAACGTTTTGAAGGACAATTAATTAATATTATATTTGATAAATTT